AGAGAAAAGGCCAGCACAGGACAGTCTGGCAGAACAGTCTAGGCAGGCGAAAGGGCAGGTGTAATGTTGCTGGAGAAGACTTTCGGCAGGGTTGCCCACTCTCTGAGCCCTTGCTGGGTGCAGGCGCTGTGCTGGGGGCTGGGGGCTGGGGAGCTCGTGAATCAGACGCAGCCCTGTCTTCAGGGGGCTACGGCAAGGAGACGGAGGGTGAGGGGGAGCCTTGAGGCTCAGTGGGGAAGAGCTTGTGCACAGGCCCTGAGGCAGGGGTGTGCCAGTGTTCTTCACGGAAGAGCCAAGAAGCTGAGGCTGGAAAAGAAGGATGCGAAAGAAAACGGCCCGAGGCAGGCCCTGACTTTGCAGGAGGTGCGGCTACAGAAGGGTTTAGACCAGTGGAGGATGTGACTTGTTCGGGCTCTTATTTGAAAAGATTGCTTGGGCTGCCATGCAGAGAATAGACGGTAGAGGTCAAGGGCACTGGCAGGAAGACCAGGGAGGAGGCGTGGGGCGGGTGAAGCTAAAGTAGCAGCCGGAGCCCACAGTCTGGAGATAGGGACGCGGCACTCATTAGAAGACAGATGGAACTTAGGGCCACGGCAGATTCGAGCACCTGGGAAGTGTGCTGGTGTAGATGAAGAGAAAAGGTCCCGAGATGAGCCCTGGGGCCCCCAGATGGGAGGGGGGTGGGGGCGGATGGAGACCCTGCACACCCGTACCCAGCCAGGAAGCGGGGATGTGGCACGGGGAGTGCTGGGTGCCCAGCTGGGGAGGTACCTGGGGAGCAGGGGGTGAGGCGAGAAGCGGCCATTGCCAGCATCCAGAGGGGACCGCGGCGCCAAGACAGGGTCTCTTTTAAGAGAGACAAATGAGTACGCTAGTCGAGGGAGGAGGCAACATCCGTGAGTGGGCGCAGGGCCCGGGGCGGGGTACCCAGGCAGTGCAGGAGCAAGCCGGCTGGCTCTCGGATGTCAGGAAATTGGCGGGGGGGCGGGGTCTCGGTTGGGGTGAGACAGGAAGGTACGGGGGAGCCCTCCAGCCCCAGCCCGACCTGATCCTCCTCGACCTTCCCAGGCACCTTGGCTGTAGCCCTAGGAGTCAAGTTTACTGGAAAGTGCTTTCACGTCTTTTACTTTCAGATTAGCCCTCAGCAAAATGGAGTTTCGGGGGGTTCAGTTCAGTGAATTCCCACACTGCACGGAGTGGACCCAGAGCAGCTCCTTCACCTGCTGTGATGCTCGGAGTCCCGACACCAGCCAGGCTGGGAGGGCAGGGCCTGACTCAATAGTCGGAGAGGAGGGAGGCTGCAAGGCACCCCGGGGATGGCAGCCACACAGGCAAGAGCCAGGGAGAGATCAAGAGACCAGGCAGTCGGAGTCTCCGCCCTTGGGGGCTTGAGTCCCAAGGGGCCCCCAGGGCCCTGCAGGTGTGGCAACAGCAGTGGAGGTAGAGGGGCCTCCGCCGTGAAGGGGTTGGGGGACTGGGGGCCATGGGGCATGCTGCTGTAGGACGCTGGGGTCGGGGGTCAGGGGTCGGGGGTCGAGGTGCCTCTGTGGTTTCGAAGGAGCCCGGCACTAGAACCGGAAGACCAGGGCTGACGGGGCCAAGGCCGAGGGCCCTCCTGAGCCTCCTTCAGTCCGGTAGAGCCCTCGGCCATCCCAGGGGAGGTGGAGCAGTGCATGCTGGGAAGGGGTGCACGCTGGCCGCAGCCATAGGCGGAGGTGGTTCAAAGGGGAGATACGGTGTCACTGCAGCGTGTGGGCTGTCGGTGGCACTGACACCCTTGAGGGTGGCAAGGTCCCCTTGGGAGTGGTAGAGATGGAGAGGCGACCTGATGGTCCCAGGTCGGGAGAGTAGCCTGAGGCAGCCCGAGGGGAAGGGCACCGTTTCTGCCCAGCCGTGGTCGCTCTTGGTGAGCGGTCCTGAAGTCGGCTGTGGCGATGTGGTCAAGCCCCCGTGGGTGACCTCGGGTCTCTAGGGCAGGCCTCTCTTCGACACTGCTGGCTGTCACCAAACCAGTGTCCCAGGAAGTGACTGTGTTCTTCAGTGTTGGGTGGCCTGAAAACACCCCATCGTAACACCAATACCAGTGACTTGTTAACAGCCCAGGATGGGAATGCGGGGAAGTGGGACCTGTAGGAAGGCCAGAAGAGACTCGGGAGGCCAGGAGCCCCAAGAGCCCCAACCGTGAGTTTGGCCAGCGGCCCTGGCACCCCCTGTTGGTGATTGAGTGACTGCTCGAGGCTGCACTCTGTTGATAGGCCGCAAACAAGGCTAGCGACAAGACAGTCATTAAAGTGAGTCTGGTTATACCTGGGAGGAGCACCCTGAAGGAACATTCCAGAGCCGCAGAAGCTGAAGAGGGAAGGGCTGGCTGCCCTTTTTGGGCAGAGACGATGGAGTTCATTCAGCCAGGTGCAGGGACCTGGGATGGGTCTCAGCAGGGCTCTGGCCTGATCACTTGACCCAGATCCAAATGAGGGGAGGAGCTCAGCTAGAGGACAGAGTGTAGCCCAGGTCATCAGATCATTGCAGGAAAACTTACCACAAAGGCCCCCAGGGTCAAGGGCAGTGGGATCCAGCTTACTCTCCTTTCTCCACCACTGCCAAGTAGCCGCCAATAAACGTCCCGGTAGCTCTCCCATAGTTCTGGCACCAGGAAAGGCCCAAATAATGAGTCCACATCTGCCGTGACTCCAAAAACTGAATTCTATTTCTTTTCATTAAAAACGTCAAATGATGCTCACCTCAATTTCTGTGTTAGCCCTTTCTCAGGAGCCAGTCTGGGGGAACTAAGGAACTGAGTGCAAATAGTTGGCCATCTGTAATCCAAAAGATGTGACTTCACCAAATTCGAAGAAAATCCTAAGCAGACTTAAGATCTGGAGTTAGAAAATTCCAATTTTACGGAGCTCTTTGGCTGATTATTTTTGCACTCAAATGACTGAGATTCAACTGGTTTAAATTGATTTAAATTGTGCTTGGCCAAGCAGTGACAGTCCTGGGTTCCAGACGCTGGAGGGTTGAAGGAGACTCATTGTCAGCGGTGTGATTCGTGGTCTAAACTAGGGGGCAGCAAACTTCTCCTATATAGGACCTTAGAGTAATTATTTTTACTTTGCAAGCCAGGTCTCTGTCGCCACTACCCAACTCTGTCCTATGATCTCGAAGACCCCCACGAACCATGCAGAAATGAATGGGCATGGTTGTGTGCCAGTAAAATTGTATTTATAAACCCAAGCCGAGGGCCAGGGTTAGCCCTTGGGCCCCAGTTTGCCGACACCTCGTCTAAACCAAGAAAACCAAATCCTAGAACCTTTGACCTGGAAATGATGTTACAACCGATGTTGTGTCCAGCCACTCACATAGGAAGGAGCTGGCATCCCCATCTCAGCACAAGGCCAGCTGGCTCACGCGGGGCCCTGCAGAGGCCTTCCCTCTGCCCAACAGAGGTCGACTCTGGCTTCTAGAACCCAGAGGGAGCCCAGGGTGGGGGGCCAGGGAGGGAGCAAAGAGAGGCAGCAGCTCTGTGAGGATATTTGAGCACGCATCTAAGTGCAGGCGGGACTGAAGAGACGACGGGGTAATTCTGGGAGCACGAGCCTGTAGGAGGTGGCTGCGCCCAGCTGGGGCTGAGGGCCACGGTAGCCAGGGATCAGGGCATTGTGGGATGTGCTTCCCTGCGGGGAGTTATGCTGATCTGAGGTCTGCAAATGCCAGCGGAGCAGCCAGGAACAAGGGCAGGAGACGCACAGGCAGAAGTCCTTGAAGGGAAATGACCACCCAATCAGCCACAGGCCAGGAGGGTTGTAAGGAGGCTTGAGGAACCATCTCGGTGGGTCAGGGCCTCCCAGCAGGATAGGTTTGGTGGGTGCAAATTCAAAGCGGGGCCCATTTTCAGTCTTGGATGCCTCCAGATGGGAGACCGGCAGGCTCTCGCGCCTGGAGCTCTGAGGAGGCGCCGGGGCCACAGTCTCTGATTGTAGCCAGATGAGTCCCCGGCGAAGAGGTGGGCCTGGGCGTTCGAATAGAGGGGAGGAGGACCGGTGCCAGGCCGGGGCTCTCGGGCACCATGGGACAGAGGAAGGAGAAGTGGAGGAGACAGGGCCAGAGCAGTCAGGGAGGTAGGAGGAGGGTCACGCGGTGGCAATGTCAGGGAAACCAGGAGGGCTTTCCAGGAAGCGGGGCAGTCAGCTGTGTTGAGTGGCCCCGAGATGGAGACACAAAAGTAGCCAGTGCGCTTAGCAGCAGGAAGACTGATGGCCACGTGGGTCCGGGCACGGTTCGTGCTGGTTACAGTTCCGAGAGCTGGCGGGAGAGAGGAAGAGATCTATAGAGAAGCTGGGGAGGGTGACCCATTTGAGGAAGGCTGGCAACGTGACCATAGGCTGGGGACTTTCTCTTACCAGAAAGTTCTTGAGACTTTCTGGTAAGAGAAAGTGGGGAGTCCACTCTCTACCATTCTCCCTTTTTCGAATCATCTTTTTGTTCTACCAAGTTGGAATTCAGATTTGGCAGAGGGCCCGGGGGCCACCTAAGCCAGTCCTGCCCGCTCCTGGAGCTGGGAAAGGGGGTTAACAGCTAAGGGTCCCAGGCATTTGCCACTCGTGAGTTCCAAAATATGTGCACAGGTCAGCCTAGAGAAAGCTACCGCCCTTTGTCCCGCATATGGATCAGTTGATGAGACATAGCCCCAAACCCGAACACCCTTACTGCAACCACACAGAGCTGCCTGTTGTTCCATTCCAATGGATGGCTATTTGTCAGCGGTGACCTTGTGCTATTGGTGTGGGTGGAATTTGCCAGCATTAGCCAGCCATTGACTATCTCCTTCCTTCCTTCCTTCCTTCCTTCCTTCCTTCCTTCCTTCCTTCCCTCCTTCCTTCCTTCCCTCCTTCCTTCCTCCCCTCCTTCCTTCCTCCCCTCCTCCTTTCCTTCCATCCTTTCTCCCTTCCCTGTCTTCCTGCTCCCCCCTCGCGCCCCTGTCCTTGCACCTTCCACTCCAGATCCGGGTGGTGAAAGCGTTCCGTAGCTCGCTCTATGAAGGCCTGGAGAAACCGGAATCCAAGACCTCCATTCATAACTTCATGGCGACGCCCGAGTTTCTGATCAATGACTACACCCACAACATCCCACTCATCGATGACACGGACGTGGACGAGAACGAGGAGCGCCTGCGGGCCCCCCCGCCCCCGTCCCCCAACCAGAACAACAACGCCATAGACAGCGGCATCTACCTGACCACGCACGGCACCAAGTCAGCTACCTCGTCAGTGTTTTCTTCCAGACCTGGGAGCCCGCTCCACAGCGTGGAGACGTCCCTCTAGGGGACCCGCTCTCAGCACGCGCACACCACACGCACAGCGCGCTCGGGCGGGATGGCGCAGGCCTGCAAGGAGGATGGTGCCCCGACGGCGCTTGCGGGAAGCCCATCCATCCAAGGCTTCCTACCCGGGACTGAAGACGAAGAGGGAGAAACTAGAGAGTGACAAGAGCTGTGTTTCCCTTTTTTCTATCGAAGCATTTTTTTTTTTTTTTTAACGGACACTACAACTCCGCCAGACGGGTCGCTGTCTGGGCTGTGTGGTGGGGCAGGGGCCCGTTCGCTGGGAGCTCGGCGGCACCCTAGGGAGAGCCCTGCAGGGCCTGGAAGGATGCCCAGCCCGGACCGCCCACCGCCGGGAGCTGCCTGCGGGTGTACCAGCGCCACCAAGCGCCCGTTCCCCGGGACACATGTGCAGTCCGTATGTGTGTGCGTGTGCATAGATATGAGCGTGCGTATAGACATATACGTACCTATATGACCAGATGCATATTTAAAGAATAAGGAGCTATTTATCAGCATGAATTTCCATTCCTCTTATCGGGTGTTTTCATTTTGAAATCTCATTATTTATTGTGGCAGGTTTTTTTTCAGGGAACTAGACTGCAAGAATATCTTTTTGGTGGCTTGCCCCCCCCACTCGCTGCCCCCCACTTTCCGCCCAGCCTCCGTTCTCCATCCCAGCCCTTCCTCCCCGCACAGTTCCCGAGGATGTTGCACTTTGAGACCCCTGCCTACAGAGGAAAACAAAACAAAACAAAACCCTTGCAATGGAATTTTTTATTTAAAAGGAAAATACCAAAGTATTGATGAGAAAGATCCCCTCCAGGGGCTGGAAAGGGGACTTTTGCTTTCGGTTTCGACTGGTTTCAACTCCAAGTCCTGGATTCTGGCTGGTGGGCTTTCTTTGTCCGCACCCCTACGTCAACAGCATGAAGCACCACCCCCTGCCTCGCTGATGCCTGGGGAGAACCCAGAATTCCTGGAGCAGCCCCAGGAGAGCCAGGGCCAGAGGTGGGGGGTGGCGCAAGCAGCAAGAGTGAGGCAAAAAGCGGCAGAGGAAGAGGTACCATCAAAACCCAAGAGGAGCTGAAATGACCACAACCGAGAAGTTGTACCGAGGTGTCTGTCGAGTGGCTGGAGCAAGTTCTCGGTCATCGCCCGCCAAAGCACTCTTCCGACCCGGATCTTCTCCTTCAAGGACAACTGTGACCCACAGAGGCAGCCACCTACAGTGACGTGGGGGAAGCAGATGTGGCAGCGAAGCCCCTGGGAGCAATGGCACCTCGTCGCTGTCGCTGCGATCACACCTGGCGCTCTCTCTCACGGGCGGGGAAGGCTGAGGAGGCCAGCCTCGCCATGCCGGCTGAGCACCCCGTCTGCACGTGGGAGAGCTGGGCCTGGGCTCCCCAGACGGTTCCCTCGGGAGCCTCTCCTTGCAGTGTGGGCATGCCTCGTGCCAAGCCTCAGTTTCCCCCTGAACGCGCACTGAGCAGAACAAGCACGTGTCTCGTGTTTTGCAGAGAGGCAGTTCAGGTGCACGTGCCTACCACTTGGGCCTGGGGCTGAGCCGCTGAGGGCCAGCCGCGAGCGGAGGGAGGCGGGAAGGAATGGGAACCGCCAGTGTGGGTGGCTGGCAAGGCTGGCTCGCAGCACGCGCCCTGTCCTAGGCCCACGGGCAGGGGACTCGTCTCACCTCCACCCGCGTCCGTGAGCACCGAGGTCGCCATTCCCACCGCTAACAGGAATGCCGCGTCACCCCTGAGCGGGAGTAGTCAAATCTCGGGCAAAGGAATTTCGGTTAGAAAAGAAAATCCCACTGAAAATGCCAGCTACAGATAACTTAAAGCCATCCCTTTATTCCAAAGGGCACATTGAGAATGTTACCCATTTGTAAATTGTTCCCTAATGTCCTTGTTTAACCGACAACAAAAAAAGGGCAACTCAATCTGTTGAGGGTCTGTGTGTTCTGAAACTAGAAATAAAATTGGAAATCTTTTCATTCTCTGTTATAGACACATCAGTAGAACTAATGGTCACTATAGAGTCCAAAAAACCCTCACTGCTGCTGTACAAAGTTGCCTACGGTACGTGTCGATTGTTTAGTCCCCAGGTTGCCTTTCCCCCGGGTGTGGGGTTCAGAAAAGGGGCGCCGTGACCTCGGAGTGTTGCTCTGCTTTCTGTACGGTCTTCAGGCCGAGGCACCTGTCTCATCAGGAAGCCCGTCTCTATAAAGCGTATTATACGGAATGGCTTGGTCAACTGTGTTCAGTTATTAAATACGTTTTCCATTTTTATCTGCCTGTTATAAAGATGAACGAAAATTATCTTAATGAGGAAGACCAGATGCATCATAACTTAAAGTCTGTAGTTGAATTTCCTAATTTAAAGAATAGTCCGAAATTTCCATGTATTAAAAAAAAAAAAAAAATGAAAGCCTCCTACAGTCCCAGTCTGGGTAACGTGTGTAATTTGTTAGTTTTTCGGGAATTGTCATCCGGAATGAAAAGGAGGCGTCCGCATCCACTTCGCCAGGCCGAGATGAGCTCCAGGGGAGGCAGAGCACCCCCCCCCCCGACCAGGTGTGCGGCCACCTCCCCAATCCTTCAGGGAGGCAGCAAGGGCTCGCCTGCCCCATGGGGTCAGAGGCGCTCCCAGGGGAGGTCTGCGTGGTGACCCTCTGACTGTCTTGACCTTGAGGACCAGCGTCCTCAAAGGAAGGCGAGGGCTGGGAACACCAACCCAAACGGGAGAGCCTGGGACACACGCGGACTCCGTCTTTTTTCTTTTTTTCTTACGGCAAAATACATACCACGTAAAAGTCGCCATCCTAACCGTTTTTAGGCAAACAGTTCAATGGCATAGAGTACTTGCACACCGTCTCTAGAACATCTTCATCTCCCCAAACTGAATTCTGTTCCCATTAGACACTAACTCCCCACCCCGCTCCCCCAGCCCCTGCTACCCACCATCTTTTCTGTCTCTGTGAATGTGAGTTCACATCTGCGTGAGTCTTAGAGTTACTCGAAGCAACTCGCAGAACTGGAATCCTACAATTTCTGTGTGCGACGGGCTCATTTCGAGCAGCACAGGGTCCCCAGGGTTCGTGCGTGTTGTAGCCTGTGTCAGAATTTCCTTCCTTTCTGAAGCCAGGTAACATTCCATCGAACGCGTAGACCGTAGTTTCTTTATCCACTCATCCGTCAGTGGACACTCGAGTTGCTTTTACCTTTCGCCTGCTGTGAATCGTGCTGCTGTGAACCCAGGTGTGCAAATAACCCTGTGAGTCCCCGCTTTCGATCCTCTTGGGGCTACACCCAAAAGTGGGATGGCTGGGTCATATGGTGACGCTATGTGTCATTTTTTGAGGACCCCTCCCCCACCAGCAGTGCACATGGGTTCCAATCACAGACTTCCTCTTTAATCCAAAGCTATGGAAAGAAAACCCATTATTTTACTCCTTCCCTTGCTCCGTGGGTCATTCCCCCATCTGTTCCTTTGCTCACTACGTGTCTTTGAACACCTGTTGGGAGGACATCTGTGCCCCGTGACCCACCCCTCCGCAGCTCGGGTCTAAAACTTGCCACGTCTCCTCTCCCTGTGCTTCTATTTCTCCACTCCACACATCACCCTTTTAAACTTGGCAATGCCGGCGGGTGCATTTTCCAGGGAAGCTGCCAACAAAGGACAAAAATGACTTCTAAGTTCCCTCCCAACCACCAGAGCCCATACTTCTAAAAAAGGCAAAGAGACAAACACCAGAAAACAGCAGAAAAACAAATAGCGGAGAGCCCTTGCTTCACTGACGTGGGAGTCCATCTGGAACCACAAGGCGAAGTGAGTCTAGCTTGGGCCAAGTGCCTTATCATGAGAGCTGGCACCTCATGGACATATGTTGCGCTGCCCCAAAACCGTTCGTTTCTGTCCGTGGAGACTCTTGCCCAGTCCTGCTATCAAATATGGCCCAGGTTCCCGTGGAAAAGAATCGGTAGCCAGCCGTCCCTCCACAAAGCCGCCCCCGGTTCCCCACCCAGCCAGAGGTCAGAGAGCAAGGTGTCGGCAGGGCGGCGCTCCCTCCGAAGGTTCTAGGGGGAGGCTCCGTCCTCGTCTCTTCCAGCCTCTGGTGTTGCTGGCAGTGCGTGGCCTTCCTTGGCCAGTAGGCACAGCACTGCGGTCTCTGTTGTCACATGGCCTGCTCCCTGCTCGTGTCTGTCACCGTGTCTGCTCTCAGCTTCTTATAAGGATACCAGTCCCGTGGGATTCAGGCCCACCCTACTCCCGCAGGATCTCATCTGACACTGACAAAGACCCTATTTCCAAATAAGGACCGGTCCTCACGTTCCAGGGGTTAGGACGTAAACACATCTTTTGGGGGACACCATTCACGCAACCACAGCTGGAAAAGAAGAGACAGGCCAAGTCCCTCACAGGACCTGGATTGCCCCCCTCCTCCCACTGGTTTGACAGGCCAAGCAAGGCTCAGCCGTTTATCACGTTTATCACATTACAGTAATTAAGACATGCTGGGGCGGGGGGCGCTTGGGGGGCTCAGCCGATTTAAGCATCTCACTCTTGATGTCAGCTCAGGTCTTGATCTCGGGGTCCTGAGTTCGAGTCCTCCACTGGGCTTAAAATAAAAGACATGCTCTGGACTAAAAAGCTCCTGGAAGTTTTGGGTTCTGGAAAATCTCTCAACCCCTTATTGCTGACCAATCCCTTTCCTTCATCAGGAAAACACAGACACCCCCTGAGTGATGAGCACGGACAGCACAGGCCCCGAGGCCAGCACACAAGCCAGCAAGTGCCAGGGCAGCGTGATAGGCACACACGCGGGTCCAGGAATTTTCAAGTAGTAAGCAGCAATCGCTGATCATTTGGGCCAACCTGCTCAATTTACAAGGTGGGAAACTGAGTCCCACAGACGGGAACTTGCTGGCTATGCAGGCATCGTAAAAGGAAACCTAGAGCTACAAACTGTCCAGAAAGCCCGCCATTAGCCACAGCAGACCAGAGCCGACGGAGCCACGCTCTCCCCGTTCGGCATAGCGGCTCCCAGCCAGGGCTGGGGATGTTCACCAAATCCCTACAGAGCTTTATCCAACTATCCTCCCTTCTTTCTGGTAAGTCCTGGGGCCGAGGGTGGGGAGGAAACAGAGTGGAACAGGTGCAGATGGAGAGAGCCCTCTTAGACGTACCGTCCCCTCCACCTGGCCCTCCCATCCAGAGCAGGGGGTTCTGGTCTCTGAGAAACTGACCTCACATCGATTGTGGGGGAGCCAGCTGCCTCGCTGGAGGCTAAACTCTGAGGTCCAAAGATTTCCAAAGTCATTGAAGCTTCTCTAAGTGCCAGTGATCTTGTCAGGGGAGAGAAGACAGAGAACCCGCCAGTGAAACACCCATCACCTAGTTCCATTCCAATCAACAGTAACT